TAAAGTTAAGATTTTTGTTAAGGGATAAAGTTTTTTTTTTTTTTAAGTTTATTAAACACATCGAACCTTTACTGTTTAAAATAAACTCTTTTTTATTGTTTTAATGTTTTCAAAAAAAAAAAAATAATAATTTCACTATAAATATATAAAAATCAAATATTAAAGTAGTTGATTCCAACTAAATGCAGCTCTCTTGAAATTAGTGATAGTTAGGAAGTTTAATACTGGTTATTTAATAGGTTGTCTAATGTTGTTTAATACTGTTAAATAAAATCAGCTGCGACAAGCTATAATAAGTAAAATTGATTTTGAAATTTCAAGATTTTAGACTAATTTAATTCTTACTTTACAATAAAAAAAAAAAAAAAAATATGAAGTTTTTATGATATTAAATGAATATATAAAGACTAATTAGCTGATAATTGCAGCAATTTGATTAAAAAATTGTTACGTTAAAATTGTTAAGCCTTGAGCATAAGAAATTTACTCAGTCATTATAAGAAAATTGAAGACACTTGCATATACTGTAGATGTTTTGTTTGTAAATGTTGTAAATGTTAAAATGCTGTAAATGTTTTAAAATGTTGTAAAAATAATTAAACTATTAGTCACTAACATCCTGTGTTATGGATATGGATGTGGATGTTAGTGACGTTTGGTGAACTACACTTACTGCATTGTATAAAGCATTAAATAATGTATAAAGCATCAAATAATTGAATTGGTCTGTCATTGTAGCTTTTCAATCAAATTTACTAGTATTTTGAAAGCAAATATTTTTATTATCTTTATTCTGAGCTTCAATTGCTTCTTCAGAATACATTCCAATTGGTAGCATAAATCTAGATATTGTCAGACTACTATGAATGAGTAGTTTGTGTACTGAGGCTGGCATGTAAAATCATGAGTACTCTCGAACAAAAATTTTTGCTGCTTCCAAACATGTTTCATATTTGGCTATGTTATTTTTTTAATTCAAATTAATGACAGATAGAATAATGTACAGCCTAAAGATTAAATCTTTCTTGACTCCTGTTATTTGCGAAAACTCTGCTTGCTGACAAAAAGCACCAAGAGCAATATTGTCATTATTTGATGTTCCAGATCCATGCCACAAGAGGCATGTCAACAAAAAGGTCATCTTTTGCAAACTCACACTTAACAAACATATTTTTTACAGCTGCTAATTTTAGCTTTTCAGTTTCAGGTATTTGCTACTCTTTAATATCAAGTCTATAAGTTATATGTAAAATACACTTGAAACATCAAATCCATGTATGTAATGACAATAATCCAAGCTCTAAGCTTTGCAAATCTGTTGAATGGATCAGAGCTTTATCTAAATTGTTCTTTTATATGGGAGTACATTTGCGAATATTACAAATTTGAGCTGATTTGTTGTCATTAGCTGCATTAAATTGCATTAACTGCTTTTCCATCAATCATTGTAAGCTTAAGATCAAAGCTTACTTCAATTGCAATCTTCTTTTCACCTTCTGGTTCCATTATTTCTACATCAATAATCATTGCACTCTCCACAAGCAAATCAATTTGCTTGTCAAAGTATTTTTTTTCTTCTCTTAAAACTAAAGGGTTTTCAGCAATATACTGAATTCTTAGTGGGCGGCAGAATCGTGTTAAAGAAGACACTTGATTTTCCCAAAATGTCATAACACCATACAATAACATAAGTATCACTAGGCAAGTAAAAAACAAGCTTTGTATTGAAAAGGGGGCATCAGACATCAAATTATTACATTCATTATTGTTGTTTTTTTGGACATTAAATCTTTGTTTATACTGCTTTTGGTTACTTGCATCGTCAAAGCCCCATTTCCAATACAAAGTCATTCCTAAACAGGATTCAAGAGAATCAAGTTGAGATATTTTATTTTTAACAGTAATTAGTTGCAGCATTTGATGAACTATTCTTTCAGTGGAACTTTGTCTCTCATTCCATTTTCAGCTTTATAAATACCAGCAGGATAATACTTTTTACTTGCGGAAGGACATATTTTCATATTTATGACAAGGTCTCCCAAATGACTGTTCATTTAAACAAAAAACATTTAAATCAACGGTTTCTGATGATTTTTCTGTAGGTTGCTGAACAATTAAAGGCAAAATTTTATTATTAAGCCAAAATGGCTCACCACTTGAAATTTGTTCTTATTTCGAAAAAAATATTTTTTGTCAAGTTTTGATCTATATTTGCATACAAGATTCAAAACCAGTAAATTCATCATTTAAATTGATGGATACGTTTAATTTGTTTTTGAGTTATTATACTGATCTACAATTTGTCTTGACGTAAGTTGTGATGAAATAGTGTCTTTAATTTTTTCAAATACTTCAAGTCGAGTTATGTTATTAAACATTTTTATAAGATAACTTGATTATTTATAAGATAAGAGTTTTAATAATGCTGCTTCAAGAAAAAGTTTAAATATCTATAATTTAGTGTAAATTTATTTAAATAATTTTATTACTTTTGGAACATAATTGCAATCAAGTTGCTGCAGTTATTAACTAATTAGTTGATAGTTTTTATGTATTTATAGTGACATGATTTTTATTTTCCTTTTTTGAAAACATTAAGATAATAAAAAAAAGTATATTTTTAACAATAACGGTTCGATGTGTTTAGTAAATTTAAAATATATATATATATATATATATATATATATATATATATATATATATATATATATATATATATATATATATATCAATAAGTATTTTAAAAAATGTTCATTGAAATGCATTCATTGTCGTGGTTGTTTATAAAATTAAGAATACAAATTGTTTAGAAAAATATATATATTCTATGATTATTTAATAGCGTTTTAGAACTTTATGTTTAAGTGTTTAAGTGTTGACAAATTTTATTAGACAGTTTAGATAGCATAAAAAAAATAACTTATGTTTTTGACTATTAATTTTATTTTTCTTTAACTTTATTCTATTTTTCTTTATTCTATTTAACTAATTCTGTTTAGCTTTATTAAAATTTATTGATTCATTAAAAAGTTTATTTAAAAAAATGTTTTTGTTGTTTTTATAAAAGTATAGCAACAATTTAGTTTGTTTAAACTTTTTTGACAACCACGTTGTCAATGTATGGAACATCTTACTAGATAAAGTAATATAACTGTTAATGGTTTCAAAGCAAACCTCAATAGACTCCAATGTTACTACAGCTTACAGCTTTTTTTAGTTAAAGTTGCATTTTGAGCTTTACAAAAACTAACTGTAATCTAAGAACCTATGATTGTATATTGTCAATTATTTTTATTTTTGTTGTAACAAATATATACTACTACTATATATACTACTACTTATATATATATATATATATATATATATATATATATATATATATATATATATATATATATATATATATATATATATATATATATATATATATTTATTTATATGTATTTATAAACATTACATGAATTTCAATGGGTAATCAAACCTGGCCCGGCCCCAGTCAAATATCCCCTGTTGCTTACTATTTGTATTTGGTCACTTACAAATAGTATATATATGTATATATATATATACATATATATATACAGGCCTCGGCGGGAATAAATGAGTACGAGAGCGGAAAAAAGCTCTCCTAAAATAAACTTGGGGAGCTGTGCGAGCTGCTCCTCATTTAAATCGGTGCTCTTTTTTAATTCTAATTTTTTTTGCAACAACCGTGCCTTTTGAAAAGCATTTCAGTGTATTATGCAATTAATTTTTTCTAAATGAAATTATGTTTTTTATCTTATTTAAAATGATAATTATACTTTTATGAGAAAAATTATACTTTTGCAAGAGCCGTAAATAGCTCTCGTAAACTATTTCAGGGGAGTGTGGGCTAAAGCTCTTGCTTCTCGCCGAGGCCTATATATATATATATATATATATATTATATATATATATATATATATATATATATATATATATATATATATATATATATATATATATATATATATACATATATACACGTAATGCAATTTCGTGTTTCGTAATTGCACTACGTGTTTTTTCGTAATTGCATTTCGTCCAATTCAGATTTATTTTTTTCTGATAAGTATATAATAATTTTTGAGAAACTTCATTCATTTTAACTGATATATTTTCCTATTGGAGCATATCCATAAAGTATGCACTAAAACGATTGATTTCGGGCCTCTGGGTGCATACACACTGTTTATTAAGAAATCAATGCTTACCCCTGTAAAACTTCAAAAAGTTAAAAGTTTCTTTTAAAATTAAAAATATTCTATTAATTTTTTTTTAAAAAAGAATAAAGAAACAAAATGTGATCATATTTCATATTTATATTTATTGAAAGATTAGGTTTTTAAATTTTTTTAGCTTTTGTTTGTAGATAAAAAAAAAAAAAAAACAATAAAAAAAAACATTAATGATATCTAGGATAACAGATTATTTAAAAATACCAAAAGAAAAATAATTAAAGCAGGTTTAAAAAAATCAAATATCTAAAAGATATATCTAATAGCTAGTAATTTTTTTTTTACTAAAACCTCTAATTTTATCAAAGCGTTTTGAACACCTTTGTTTATTTTTTCGTTAATTTTTTTTTAAACATTTTTTGAACATGTTTTAAACATTTTTTTTTAACTTGAATGCAAAAGTCTGTTTAACCCTTTATTTACCAAAATATGGTAACTTAAAATTGCTAACACTATTGACACTTTTTTTCAACACCTGTTTTCTAAAATGAAAAATTATTAAAACCCTTTCAAAAGGTCCTGCTGTTGCCATGGAAATAAATTTGGGACTAATAAGTCTCGTCGGGTATTTCCGGCTTCAAGATTTTTGAAAGGTTAAATTAAAATACAATTAAATTGTTCTATAAAAATTTTTTGAATAAATTAGATTATAGCAACACAATTAAAAACAAAATATTTTCTTGGTTGATACATGATACAAAATGTTTATATTTTACGTGATTTTTTTTTTGTTGCAATGAATTACAATTCATGATATTCAGCAAAACAATTTTTTTTATCAATCAAGCATAAGTATACTTCACAAGCACTACATTTTATATGCGGACGAGCTACTCGTTTTTCTTGTGCACATACCTCGCAATGACCACGCTTACTGTCAAATTTTGGCCAATGAACGCCTAAATTTTCTTTTCTAATTGCTGAGGATACAGAATAAGTCAATGACTTTCTTTTTTTTAATGGGCCTTGCAGGGTTAAGGATATCAATGGCCGTCCTACTTTTGAAAGACGCCCACGAGTGATCAAAGATTGCGCTACCATTCTTCGATACAAAAGACTTTTCATTTTGGCTCCGGTAATTTTATTGAACGCAATAAATGAGTTACACAATGCCCTTTCAATCAAACCAAAAAAGATCTGATGCCACCATTTTTTGGTCTTCCATGATAACCCATATGAAGAAATCAACTGATCTACCATGTCAACGCCACCTATAAAGGTATTGTAATGTTTTACAGAAATAGGGCAATTAAAATCTTTTCTTGTTCCATCTTTCTGTGTTCTTAAAACAGTTGCATGTTCTGTTCCATGAAAATTACACAATATGGTCACAGACTTGTTATCTTTCCATTTGTAAAATACCAATCTTCCAGCAGAAACCCCATAGTCAAAGTCACCACTTTGAAGCATTTTATCACTTTTTAAGTTTTTTGGCAAGTATTTCCTGTCTGAACGTATTGTTCCACAACAATAGACTTCATGTTGTAATAGGTATTCCATTAATGGAACAGTGGTAAAATAGTTGTCAAAATAAACTTGATGATGTTTTCCGTGCAAAGGCTTTGTTAGTTGGTACAGGACAGATTCACCTAATCCAAAATGCTTGGGCATTGAATCATCACTGTGAACTTTGTTTTCACCTTGATAAACTTGGCAGTGATACATATATATATATATACATATGCGGTAGTGGTGTAGTGGTAGAGCGCTCGCTTCATAAACGAGTGGTTCCGAGTTCGATCCCCACCACGTCCCTGGTAGTACCGCGCTCAACTCGTTTCTCCGCGCAGCGGCCTTGTTCGTCAAGGTTCGTGTTTCGGAGTTATAGAGTTGAGAGAGGGTTATAGCCACGAATAAGTAGCCTCCTCTTCTGTAGTGGCCTTCTCTTCTCCTTGAGGAGGTGAATTAAAAAAAAAAAAAAAAAAAAAAAAAAAAAAAAAATATCCATCTATGTCAGCAATGTCCCACAATTTATAACCCCGTTTTATAGGTTTCATTGGATTATAATGTTTTAAACTGCTCCAACCAAAAGAGAATCATACTTTCATCTATGCTAACACGTTGAGATACATTGTATAGCTTAACAAAGTTTGAGTTTAATTGATTAATCAATGGTCTTAGTTTGTACAACTTGTCTTTATTATTATTTGGTTCAGCAGCATTATCATTGACATGAATATTGCTTAGAATTTGAGCGAAGCAATTTCTTGGAAGAGCACTTGATGCAAATGATACTGACAAGTCAGGCTTGCAACTCCAATAATCCATCCATGATGGTAATTCATGATAACCCATTATAACAATGATTCCTAAGAAGGAAAAAAACTCTTGCAATGAAGCATTTAGAACAGCCTTCATGCTTTGCATTATATATAAATTGGTTTGATAAAGTTCTGTTGTATTTCATTGTCAAAATTTATCAATAGGATTACTTTTTTTCAATGAAAAAAAGTAATCCTATTTACACAACAAAATTAAAAAAAAACAACACAAAAATGTAATAAAAACTTGTTAAAACAACATATATTTATTTACTATAATAAAAATCAACCAAAAAAATTCCCCAATGCACAATCATATTAAAGGTCAAAGATATAATACTTTCAAGTCAAGAAAAAAATCTTTTAGAACTGCAAGCTTTAGTAGACAAATTGTAAACAAAAATATGTGCTTTTGAGCAATGACTTTAATGATATTTTTTTATATCAAGATATTCGAAGGTTTATCTTTTAATTTCTATAAATAAATATCAATGACTTACATTCTTACTGCAAAATATAGCCACTAATTTCCAGCGGGACAAATAAGTCCTGTCGGTAAACAAAGGGTTAAATTGTAGAAACATCTATTGCAGTCCATTAAAAAAGTTGAATAAAAACAATAGAATTATTATTATTATTTTTTTAAATATTTTTTTGTTAATAAATAATCCTCTATTATTAACTATTAAAAACAATTATTAATCTTATTAAGCAGTTTTTTGCAATTTTGTGATAAAAATATTAAATTTTAAAAACAGCAACATTTGCATGCAAGCAACTATATTTTCTATTACTAAAATTTTCACTAAATAAATCTTCAAAACAAATTTTTTTTTCTTTAATAAAGTTTCTATCAAGTTTTACTTCTTTCAAATATTTTACTTCTTTCAAATTCTTTTTTTTGATATTGAGAACTTCTTTTTGTATGAAATTAATTGATCTAAGTTACATTTTAGTAGTTAAAAAAATTGTTTTACATTAAATTTTATTCTAGTTCTTGATTTGACTAGTGAGCAGTGGAACCTAACTAACAAAATGTGTTAACAACTTTATAAAGTAAATTAAACAGTTTTATATTGAAACTTAGTAAAGTGAATGGTTTAATTTAAACTTTATAATGTTTAAATTTTTAAAATTATTAAAAATAGTTATTTAAATCTTTTTGAATTAAAGTTTAAGAATTTACCTGATGTCTCACATTCATCTGATGCCTCACATTTATCTGATGCCTCACATTCATCTGATGCCTCACATTCATCTGATGCCTCACATTCATCTGATGCCTCACATTCATCTGATGCCTCACATTCATCTGATGCCTCACATTCATCTGATGCCTCACATTCATTTGATGCCTCACATTCATCTGATGCCTCACATTCATCTGATGCCTCACATTCATCTGATGCCTCACATTCATCTGATGCCTCACATTCATCTGATGCCTCACATTCATCTGATGCCTCACATTCATCTGATGCCTCACATTCATCTGATGCCTCACATTCATCTGATGCCTCACATTCATCTGATGCCTCACATTTATCTGATGCCTCACATTCATCTGATGCCTCACATTCATCTGATGCCTCACATTCATCTGATGCCTCACATTCATCTGATGCCTCACATTCATCTGATGCCTCACATTCATCTGATGCCTCACATTCATCTGATGCCTCACATTCATCTGAGTCATGAGAGGTCATCCATTTCTAAATTAATTTTCCAATTCAATCTAAAGCTTTCATTAACTTTACATTTTTCTTCATATGTTTTAATTCTCATATTTCTTCTTATATGTTTTAATTCTCTTTTTGTTTCATATCAATGTCATACTTTTCACTCATTACACCTCTCTTTGATATTTTTTGATCTTGAAGAAAAGCCAAATCTTCTATCACTGCAGCATTTGATGCTGACATGTTGGCTAGTAAAAAGGTAGACGTTGTGACATGTGTCTTTTTTATGCAAATTCTGGTTGAGAAGAAATCCTTAGTACTACTAACACATTTAAGTATCCTAGCAACTGTTTAGATAAAATATATTTTAACATGATTATTAAAACTAAGTTTTTTTTTCTGACTTTCCGCGTTTCACATCTAAAGTCAGACAGAATATCATCAAGTAAAAAGTTTGTATGACATTTCTAAAATAAAATAATTGAAAAAAAAACAAGTATTAAAAAAAAAATGCATTTTAATGTGAAAACACAAACATTTAAGGAAAAAAAAAAAGGTGCAGAAAAAAGCTCTTGCTGGTAAACAATAGTTTACTTATACTTAAACAGCAATCTGTTTATAAAAGCAAATATTTTTATAGAAGTATTTTTAAAAAATTATTGTCTATGACAAACATTTCAGTTCTCTTTAGAGACATAACTTAGGAACTGTAACTTTTTTTTTCAAATTCTTTTCCATTTAGGATTATCAGCAAGTTGAAGTTTGATTTTGACTGAAAAATGAGGGGAAAAAGTGCCAAAAAAGTCCCAAAAACTTTAGTTTTATATCTCTTGAAGCAAAACTTTAGTTTAGTATCTCTCGAAGCAAGGCTATGTAGTTTATTTTAGGATTCATAAAATGTACCTAATAATGACAATAAAAAAGGGCATTGACAATTATAGCTATAAAAAAAATCTGACTGATAAAAAAAAAATTTTGTTCTTTTTTCCTTGAAGATAAGATGTATATCAACTTTACAAAATAATTTTTTTTTTACCTTTTGTTTACTTGAGGAGTTATTAAGGTTTAATAACACAACGTTTTGTGACATTTTAAAAATTAGGTATATATCATCTGAAACAATACAATAAAATTTTTGATTGAGAAAACCTTTTTTTTTGAAATAAATAATCACAGGATGAAGTGTACATTTTAAATTTGTCCAATAAAAGCTTTGTACTTAATCCTGAACTACAAATTTATTAGTTTTCTGAAAAATCACCCAAAAATAATGCTGTTAATTCATTCATATCTTCCTTTCTTGATCTTAGGTATGATGCTTGACTTTTAGCTAAATACGAGTGTGGTGCAAGTTTTATCAGTTTTTTTACATACTAGTTCATTGTATTCAGACACTGGCTCTTTATTATGTGTTAAGTTTGACCTATCTGTTGTTGTCCATTGATCAAATTTTTCTTCATTGTCATATTCAAACTCCCCAATTAAATTATAAAGTTTTTCAACCTATGCATTCATAGTTGCAAGGCATCTTTCACATTTCCGCATCATGCAGTCTTTATTAGTCATGTCACATACAATATAAGGTAACAGTTCTTTGTATGTCACACCATTTTAAATTCTAATGAATAGCACAGACACTGAATGTGTTCCTGATCACCAGCAGTAATTCCTAATGAGCAAAGTACAAAGTACACTTGAACAATATGTTTAAAATAAAAACAAAGTTATATTTATTAAGAAAATATTATTTAAATACACAGCTATTAGTTTTAATAGAGATATTATAAAAGCCTAATTATCTACTAGTTATTGTCAATTATCTACTAATTATCTACCAAAAATTTAGTTGAAAGTAGATTATAACTAAATATAATTATATTTAGTTATATAATTTATCAAGGTAATATTTATCGAATATGTAGTATTATCCTTTGTCACTTTATTACTTATTTTATTGATGAGATAATCACTATTTTATTACAATAAAACAACCAATAAAAAAAAGATTACATAATATTGTTTAATGTAATGACATAACTGTTATGTAATGAAATTAACAAATTTATAAGTTTACAAAATATTCAACAATGTTTTGTGACAACTTTGTAAGAATTTAAATCACATAACACACATACTGTTTTTTTATTTAAACTTTAAGCCTTAAAATTAGATTAAAAACAAATATAATTGTATATTTTTTTTAAATCTAATTTTGTTAAATTGATTAAAAACAAATTGAAAAGGTAAAACATCAATAACTCCTCACCAAACATAAGGCCAAAATAAAATTAGTTCGTAAAGTAGATATAAGTAGTTCGTAAAGTAGATATATGTCTAAACTTTAAGAAAACTAAAACCAAAAGTTTTTTCTATCAGTCAAATTTTTTTATAACCAAAGTTGTCAATACTCTTTTTTATTGTCATTAGTTAGTGTTTTTTAGATCTTAAAATAAACTTAATTTTGTTGTTTTGAGAGATACAAATCTACAGTTTTCAGATTAAACAGGTTTTAAACTCCTTTAGTACCAAATTTTAACTTTGCTAAATTAGTACAAGCACCGTATAAAGGTAATAGTAAACGGACACATTTCTGACTCTTTTCCACCCTCATTTTCAGTCAAAATCTAACAAACTTTGGTGTAATTCTTTAAGGTATAAATTTTTTTTTTAAAATCATCATTTTCTCCCTTCCAAATTCTTGACAAGCTTAATGAGTGTTTTTTGTGTTGCCAAGTTTAAAATATTTCATTTATGTGTGTGCTATATCAGTGTTCAGCAGATGCTTTAGTTTTATCATCATTATTTTGTTATAAATATCAGTAATATATCCAATCGTAAAATGATTTGAGCAGAATGAAGAAAACTTTAAACAAATCCAAGTATTGATCTTTATTTAGATAACATTTTAGTTTCTATGCATTTCTAAAACTTTAGTTGCAAACTACCAAGAAAAACCAAAATATCCAGAAAACTACCAAGTTTTAAACTACCAAGAAAAACCAAGATACCCAGAAATATATTATACAACTAATTGTTTTATATTATTTTTGTGGATATCTTCAGCTTTTAAGGCTTTTATTTTAACCAATGAATAATTTGTTTTGATTCTTTTATTTATTTTGACTAAAATGTTGTTTTATTTAATTGCACTTCATCTCAAAATTTTGTCTCAAAAAAATAATAAATTTTATTTTTAATAAAACTTAAGTTTTAAATTTTTAATATTATTTCAAGTTTGAAGTGTAACTGTGAGTTGATTTTAATCTAAGCAGTTTTCCAGATGTATAATGTCATCAATCAGGGGCTGTTCTAGACCCGTTTAGACAGTGTTAAATGTATTTGGATGCTGTCCAAATTCAGAAATTAAGAACTTTTTTTTTATTTTTTATTTTATATAGCAAATATTATTATTATTAAAAATGCCTACGTATGTAGGCATTTTATCGCAAAAAAATTCCTACATACGGCAATGTTTCTGCCAAATTTCCCTATGGCAGGCCCCAGCATGGGAGGTACCACTGCCCAAATTGTTTTCCTAGAATAGCTTCTGTCAATGACATTCTATACTAAACAGCTGGTTTTTTAAGTATGCAAAGATATTTATTCTACTTAACTATCGTTTTTTATTATAAAAATAAACGGCTTTTTTAATTAAAAGTTTTTTTAATTTTAGGTTATCCATACTTTATCATTGTTATCACATACACATGAGGCGAAAGTAGTGGCCAAACTCAAGTAGGTTGCATTTTAAAACTTTTTTAAACAATTTTTAAGCAAATAATTTTGAAAATTTTTAAATTCTTTTTAATATAACGAAATGCTAAAGATATTAAATAAATAATTTATTAGAATAAGTAATTTAAAACTGATTTGAAACTGTTCAGCATCGCAACATGCGCCCGTTGGACGACGTTGGACGATGTAATAGAGACTTAAGCCACTAGAGTAAAAAACACAAAAGTTCTGTCTGTGGAACAAGTTTTTCTAGTAAACCAGCTAGCACTTTGCGTAATATTTATTGGCAGAAGACAGAGGCAACAAAAAAACTTTGACAGGATCAGAAAAAGAAGAAGTTTTAAGAACTGTTCTTAAAACTTCTTCAGCTAGAATCTAAAGAATTTGATCCTGAAATAACATCATTGACATAAAATGACATTATTGTGATATTTGATAGAAAGACACTGTTCTGACACTGCTGATAAGAGCAAATTAGATACAGATTCTTAAAGTGAAGATTGTATTTCCACACATAGAACTGAGATGACTGTAGTTAAATCCTCTGTTTGACTATGACCATTATTTTAACAAAAATGTCAGCATTGGCAAAAGTCTGCAACAGATATAGGTTCTCTGACAGGTTGGCTGCAGCATTATCATCAGCGGCTTTGAAAGGCTTGGGACTAGTAGCAGAAGAGGATCTCTCCAATTTTTCTCCAATTTTTTCAATGTGAGAGAGTGAAGATGCAATGGGAAATAGAAGATTTGGGCAAGATAAATATTGTGTGATGTCTCTGTTTGGATGGACTAAAAAATAAAATTTTAGTGAGTATGAAAAAAACACCTTATTTATACCACTGTTTAACAATTACCACAAAGTATGTGTCTTGCTACTAATGGAAAGGCTTTTGAAAACAAACAAAGTATATATAGATATACTGCACTATTAAATAAAATGGTAGCAATTGGACAAAATATCAATACCAGGCAAACCAATGGTTTATCAAATCAGATTGATTGGAAAAGAAGTTGGAAGACAACTACAGTGGTTATTATACCAGTTTCTTGGGACCAAATTGCCACTGTGTCTTATTGGTAAGGCATAATCAGCATGCCAACAAATGGCTTTCTTTCATTTTCAAAAAAATATATGTTGATATGCCTGCAGTAGAGTCAATTGCTGTCTTTTGAAAAATACTCGAATTTTAAAAGCAAGTTGACAGCAAGTTACTATAATTAGACTTATCATAGTTAAACTTAGAAGTCATTAGTAGAAATAATTAAACATATAAAATAATTAAACATTAGTATTGTAATTAATCTTAGAAGTCATTAATAGAAGTCATTGTTCCTGAAGTAAACTACAATAGTTCCAATATTCTAGACCTACTCTATCTAACATTCTTGAGCCACTCTCTCATTCTCATAATGTTTCATATATCTAATTCATTTTTCATTTCATTCTGCTAACTAAAGTAGGGGCCCAAAATTAAATATTTTTGGAATTTGTGAAGTTTTACCACTTTTTCTTAATTAACTTTTTATGCTAATTTTGCGTTACTTTTTTTATTATTAATATTTGGCCTTTTTTCAACTTTTTTCTACTTTTTCAACTTTTTTTACAATTTCAATAAAAGTGATTATTTTGATTAAACAATCAATTAAATGAAATGAAATCATTGTTATTATCAAAAGTAGAATCTGTGGTAAATATTATTGAAATCATTATTCTTATTAAAAGTAGAATCTGTGGTAAATATTTATCATTTTGTTTTTATCAATAAAATATGTAATCATTGTGTGTAGTTATAAATACAACAAAAAGTTAGGCATTATACGTAAAATTACTCCATATTAAGAACAATTTGTAACTATTGCTAGTGAAATAACTTCATAGCAGGCGTGGTGCAGTGACTGGAGTTCTTTCTCAAAATGAAGAGGTTCAATATTGGTTCATTATTGGCTCTGACCACATAAGCATTATCTTATTATATTTTAAGCATTATTATTATTAAACATTGTAAGGAAGGAGGTGAAAACATCCTAATTAAATTGCTATTCCACGGTGCTATATTTTTTGATTATTACTAAAATAAACATCTCATTCATCAATCGTTTTTGACATTTAACAGATCTTTTTTTTTTAAATATATTTATTGACATCTGATTTGCAAATAAATTGGCTGCCTTGATATTTTAAACAAGCTAAGATAAAATATCTCTGGGCTGCCTAACTGTAAAGCTTACAGTTCTTTTTTTGCTAACTTGCTGTCCTAGTTGTTACTGTCACTGGTTCCGACTATTTTTTATATATTTAAATTTTTTAGCAATGAGAAACATTTTCTGAAATTTTCCTAAATTACCTACATTTTTTTATTTTTATATACTGCAATTTCTTTTACATTTTTTATATTACAAAACATTTCCCAAAATTTTTCTAAATTACCTATTGTGAATCTTGATTTCTCAATGGTTTGAATATTTTTCTAAATACCTACTGTAAATCTTGATTTCGCAATGGTTTGAATATTGTAAATGACGACATTTCTGAAGCTAATTGCAATAAGTGCTACGCTGATGCTTAAGTTCAATGCTTTTTTGTAAATGTTTTATAAATTACAAAAACCTGATTATAAATGTAATACATCAGTTATTCTATTATTTTATCTTTTTTCCAAACCCATATAATACATTCCTATTTTCTGTTCAAGAAAGATAGCTAAATTTTGCTAAACTATTTGCAAGGATGATACAATCATCTAAGTTTTTTGATGCATATATATGAATTATTTCAATGACTACTGAGCACTTACTTAATATTACAAAAGATTGTTGATATAAAATGAATAAAAGCTACTTTGTATGATAAAATATGTCAACTACTCAGAGATTTCTTGGGAGACTTTTACTAGGAGACTACTTTAGATGTAAGGATGTCATTAATGTATATAATTAATGTAGATAAGAAACAAAACAGGACCAAGGATAGCCCCTTAAGGTACTCCAGAAGTTACTGATAATGAAGAAGAGTTTTGGCCTTGGAGGATGACTTTAATAAAGCAGCTGAAAAGAAATAATTTAATAATCTCAAAAACTTTCCCAGATACACCATATGAAGCAAGCCTATGGAGAAGACTAGCATGCCAAACTTTGTTGAAAACATTAGATATGTCAAGAGCAATAGCCCTAGCCTTTCCGCCTTCATCTAGGGTATGATAAAATCATTCAGTCAAGCAGTTAGTAATTCAGTCAGCCTTAGGACAAGAGGATTAGAAATTGATATTCTAACAGTAAGTTATTTAACACAAGATGGGATGTAAGAAAATTGTTAATCAAAGACTCAAAGGCCTTATTATCAACAGAACAAAGAGTCTTTTGATTTGAATGTCTAACAATGGGTAAACTTGTTTAATTGGAATGGAAAGAAAGGAATGATCATAAGATTCAAGAATCGAATTAGAGAAAAATTTGTTTTCAGAAAGTTCTGCTTTATCCTGGGGAGAGGTAATAAGATCAGTCCTATGAATGAGAGATGGAATGTTAAACTTTCTAATGTTACTCATGCAACTGTTTATTTAATAATAATAATAATAATTTATCTTTTAATCCCTTTTAATGATGTTAAAGATTTTTCAAAAGTCTTTAGAGCCTAACTTCTGAGATATGAAAATTAGTGAACTGAGAATAATGGAGCTTAGCATCTGACAGAACCTTTTTACATTGATTACAGATCCTCCTGCATCCAGGAGATTATTTAAGAGGCGCATTTAAGGACTGTCACAAAGAAAATCACAAAAAAGTGATCTCAGTCAGTTTTAGGGTAGTAGTAAGTAGTGTGTTGAGTTTGAAAAAGAAGTGCGAGATGAAAGATTTATAGAGCTCATGGTATGTTCAAAACCACCTATAAGAGAATAAGGAGAAACTGAACACAAGCTAGGGTCAGAGATAAGACATAAATCTAGGAGTGAAAGTAAATGATTAGTGTTGTCCTGAAAATGAGTCACAAAGTTAAGTCTGAGTAAAAAATTGAGAAATGCAGAGGTTAAAGGTTTTAGTGCCAGCAGGGTCAGTGGCGTTAGAGCCAAGCCATTCAGAGTGATGAGCATTAAAGTCATCAATAGTAAAAATATTTGCAGAGGGGTAAAGAGAAAGAGCATGGTCATAGAGAAAAAGCATGGTCATAGAGAAAGAGCATGGTCATAGAGAAAGAGCATGGTCATAGAGAAAGAGCATGGTCATAGAGAAAGAGCATGGTCATAGAGAAAGAGCATGGTCATAGAGAAAGAGCATGGTCATAGAGAAAGAGCATGGTCATAGAGAAAGAGCATGGTCATAGAGAAAGAGCATGGTCATAGAGAAAGAGCATGGTCATAGAGAAAGAGCATGGTCATAGAGAAAGAGCATGGTCATAGAGAAAGAGCATGGTCATAGAGAAAGTCAATTTAATAAGAAATAAAATCTAAAAGTCTTGAGAAGGAGAGCAATAAAACAACAACAGAGGTGAAGAGCTGCTAAAGAGTGAAGAGGTGCTAAGCGGAAGCACATAAAAGAATGGTCAAAGAATTCAAACCTGATTTTAATAAGTGAATGGATAGGTATGTATACCCCCAAGTCAAGCACATAGCTATTAGAGTCTTTGCGAATCAAAGGATAGTACGCGAATCAAAGGATAGTACTAAGATCTTAAGAAAGAATAGCAGAATTTAAATTAGAGCTAGCAAGTCTGGTGAATTTTGCAAGGTAAGATTTAACTGATGGAAGGTTGCTTTGCAGACCACAAGTTTTTGTAAAAGATATATTATAACAGTTCAGTAGTGGTTTTTTATGTTTAATATTTTGGGTTACTTTTGGTGTGATTTAAGTTTAATGAGAACTTGACTCAGTCATAGATAGAGCATGGCCTGCTAAGCGATGAGCTATGGAGTTGTCAGTCATGTTAATTAACCTTAAGTTGTTATATAGGGCTTCTTATGTAGCCTTGATAATGCGGACCAAAAGCTATTACAGGGATACCATCC